AAATCAAACGTAAAAACAGGACAAACAAAGGTCATAGCGTCGTAGTCACGTCAAACATCGCGTGGGATTTGACAAACGCAAAAGTATTTCGGGGACATTTCCATGCTTAATAATGTGCTGTCCACATTTGATGATAGGCAAATTCGATTAAGTAAGGGTATTTGGAAGCAATATTCCTCTGTCGAAGATCGGCCGGTCAATGTAAGCTACGAAATAAAGAAATTCTAGTTCAAAATCAAATCGTTCGATTTTTGCGGCAGACGTTCGACGCGCGTCTTTTATGCATCTCGCAATTGTACGGAAAATCACCTATTGACACAACCACTCGCTCAACTGAATCTGAACCAAACGGCTCAACAACTACCACTGTTGCGACGGAGGTACAAACCCTCTCCGCTTTTCCTCTCTCTTACGCTGCTGTCACTGCAACGCCCATTGATGTCTTTGACAGGAAGCAGACCTCATCATCCTTTCCCTTTCATGACATGGACGATGTGGAGTCTGTCGCTTCTGACGTGTCAGATGTGTCCCAATTTCTCCAGGAGGAGAGTGCAGCTGATGTAGAAATTTCTCTACTTCTACATGACTCTTTGCAGAAATTTCTAGACGAGTCCTACAACTCAAAACATCTTATGGAACAAGCAAGCCAGTTTTGTCCTGACCTCCGCTTACTAATAAGATCGCTAACTGATTTCCGCAAAAAAAATGACCTGCTTCAAGGAAAAGGTCGCATCCAACGACTATCCTGCAGAATCGCTAAAAATATGGGATCACAAGAACACCAGTGAAAACATACGGAGCATTGAAATCCTCGATAAAAAGCGTGGTATTTCTACTACCTGTAGTAGAAGGTCAAAAAGAAATAACAGTATATTGTATCATGACAACTACAATAATGGACTCTCCACTTGTGACGTATCAATGGTCTATTTGTTGTTCTCATATTCATCCATATGTGAGTCTTAGTTTTATTATATTATTTATTATTCCAATAACTGGATCTATGTTCTTCATAGTCATTACTGGTCAGTTTTTAACATCTGTCTTCTTGCATACATTGTGCTATTTAATATCCTTATTTGTCACATTCATCAAATCTATTTTGGGAGTGTTTTCACAGTTGAAATGAAACTCTGCTCTGCTACTAGTCTTTCAGGTATGTTCACTATGGCAACAATGCTTCTTGGGTATTATCTATACTGCTCAGTCGTTGATATTATAAAATCAAACATGCAGATTGCTCTTGCAGTCGATATTCAACTATCCTCCGTTATGTGTATGACAATTTTGCCAGCTATGTTCACCATAGCAACAACGTCCGAGCTCTTTGGGTATTGTCTACTCTGTTCATGGTTTAATAGTGTAAAACCATGCCTGGAAATTAATTCCGTAGTTGATATTCAACCCTTTTGTGGTACATCAAAGTTTGTAACTGGTGTGTCAACTATCACCGTAGCAACAATGTTTGTACTCATTACTCATTGCTCAATACTATATACATAGTTTTTGGTTTCACAGCTGACTTTCAACCATTCCATGTTACACCTGAGTGTGTATCAAGTGTACAAGCTATTGTCACCATGGCAACAACGTCGTTATCTGGGCTGTGTCTATATCACGCATCTTTTACTATTTTAAAATCAAACTTGAAACTGGTTCTCATAGTTGGGTTTCAACTATTCTATGTTAGACCTGAATGTGTAACAAGTGTACAAGCTATTGTCACCATGGCAACAATGTCGTTATCTGGGCTGTGTCTATATCACGCATCATTTAATATTTTAAAATCAAACTTGAAACTGGTTCTCATAGTTGGGTTTCAACTATTCTATGTTACACCTGAGTGTGTAACGAGTGTACAAGTTATTGTCACCATGCCAACAACGTTGTTATCTGGGCTGTGTCTATATCACGCATCGTTTAATATTTTAAAATCAAACTTGAAACTGGTTCTCATAGTTGGGTTTCAACTATTCTATGTTACACCTGGGTGTGTAACAAGTGTACAAACCATGTTCACCATGGCAACAACATCGGTATCTGGGCTGTGTCTATATCACGCATCTTTTAATATTTTAAAATCAAACTTGAAACTGGTTCTCATAGTTGGGTTTCAACTATTCTACGTTACACCTGGGTGTGTAACAAGTGTACAAACCTTGTTCACCATGGCAACAACGTCGTTATCTGTGTTTTGCCTATATCAGGCATTGTTTAATATTTTAAAATCAAACTTGAAACTGGTTCTCATAGTTAGGTTTCAACTATTCTATGTTACACCTGAGTGTGTAACAAGTGTACAAGCTATTGTCACCATGACAACAACGTCGTTATCTGTGTTTTGCCTATATCAGGCATTGTTTAATATTTTAAAATCAAGCTTGAAACTGGTTCTCATAGTTGACTTTCAACTATCCTTTGTTACACCTGAGTGTGTAACAAGTGTACAAGATATTGTCACCATGACAACAATGACGTTACTTGGGTCTTGTTTATATCATACTTTTTTTGACTCCCATGTGCGAAGCACAAAATGGGAGTCTTTGCAGTTAGTGTGTCTGTGTGTGTGTGTTTGTGTATGTGTGTGTCCGACTGTTCCACTGCTATCTCAAGAACCATACATCGGTTTTTGATGAAACTTGGTGCATAGATGCTCTGGGCCATGCGCAGATTTGTTTAGTTTTGGTAAAAATCCATGCTCGTTAATTACCTAATTTGCATGATAATTAGCTAATTTTT